TCTGGCTCCCTTCCTCGCCCTCCCGCGCTGCAGTGCCGCGGCCCCGGGCTCCGTCTGTCGTCTTGGGCCTGGCTGGAGTTGCCCAGGAGGTGCCCGCCCCCTGCCCCGGCAGCGCCGCCCACTCAGCTTCGTTTCATTGTCGCCTTCTTCACATTTTCATGACCCTACGTCCGCCCCGTGCAGTCTCCCCTCAGGGTGCCTCTGCCTGCCACCCCGTGTCGTTTGCGGGCAGACTGCGGACTCCGGTCTTGGTGAGGTCGCCTGCGCCAAGCCTTCTTTCCCCTTAAGGTAGCAGCCCTCTCTCTGGCTGTCTCCCCGCCATCCCCACCGCACACTCACGCTATATAAGGTCTCGCTTGGGGGATGCAATAGACTGGTGCAACCATCGCCACCGTCAAGATGCAGACCCCCCAGACTGCCCTGGCTGCCTCCCGTTGGCAGTGAGGGCGAAGCTTGCTCACTTACCAGCTGTCCTGGGAACGTTCTCTGGGGGAAACACCCAAGAATGGGATTGCTGCACCAGCTGGGTCCGTGTTGACCCCGCAGGACACTGCCGATCCTAGCCGGCTCTACTGCCAGTAACTGAATGTGCCTGCGCCTGCATAAGGCTTGAAAAGGGAAGGCCAGGGTCGCCCCAAACAGCGAAGGGTGGGAGGCCAGCATCTGGCTGGCGGGTTGGGTCCTCTTGGCTCCGCCCCCTCAAAAGCCCACCAGGACCAACCTTGCCCCACACGCTTTAGTCCTCATCGCCTCTAAGGGCCCCACCTTTTATTGCAGTGGTAGGATTCAGTTTTCCACCCTTTTTTTTTTTTATATATATAGGTTTTTGCTATAGGGCTCGTGCACTCGCCAGAGACAGAAATCGAGAAATCACCCCCCAGGGTGGATGGCCACGCCACAATCCCTTCTCCTCCATTCTCCTCTCAGGATCCTGGGCACGCACACACACCAAGTCCAGCATGCGAACCATGGTCAACTACATGGGAGTCCAGAGACATAGCCGTTATGCTAACTGCTGGTACCAGTTTTCCACTTGTTAATCCCATCATGGCCAATCTCAACCAGGTGAACCTTAGAGCTCGGAGGATTGCACTGACAAATGTTTTTTCTGGTTTTTTTTAAAATTATTTTTATTTAACTTTATTTATTTAATTTGACCAGAGAGGGACAGAGAGAGAAAGTGAGAAACTGCAAGCCGCCAGGTCTGGGACTGGAACCATGATGAGCCATGTGGGAGTCCAGCGCCCTTAACCATGCCACCTGCTAGCGACAAACTGTTTTTTGAAGAGGCTGTATAATGTTACACCCTGGACCCGGAGTCTCCTCTCCTGGGCACTTGGTTTCTCAGGGGGTTGTCTTGGTTTTTAGACACCATCTCTGGGTCACAATCCTGCCTCAGTCTCTGGAAGAACTGGGACCACAAACACGCACCGCAGTTAGGCTTTTAGTGGTCTGGGCATCACACCCGGGCTCCTGTGTGGTCTCAGCCTGCCCATAGTGGCACCAACCATCATGTGCTATGAAGCTGGGCCTAATTCGCGTCTTAAAGTGCTATTAATAGGCTTGTAATGCTGTCCTGCATGGCTTTACGTTCATTTTCCTAATGGTGTGAAAATCATGTGCTTATCACGTGTTCCCATGTCTTCTTGGTGAGTGTCAAGTTGATCTTCGGCCCACTTTGCAATTAAGTTCTTTTTAAATTAGTCTAAAGATTTTTTGCTATAGAGCACATGTGCTCCCTGGAGAGAGACCGAGAAATGGAGACAGCGTCTCTCACCCCAGGGCGCCGGCCGCACCACACTCCCCTTCCCCTCCGTGACCGCTCAGCGTTTGGGCACACGCTCATACGCAGTGCAGTTTTCTTTTTCCTTTGTGATTAGCATACTAGTTTATTTCTCAGTTTGTGAAAATGTCCTTAATTTGTCAATGTGGCAAACAAATTCAACTCTGATTGCTAGGTGAAGAAACAAGATAATCTGCCTTGCAATAAACTTTTATAGTTCAACTGCATACAGGCCACATGCTAAATATGAAAAATTACTAACTCCAGGCATTAAGTACTGAAAAAAGTTACCAGTTTATACTTTATTTAACAATTTAGGAAGTTTGCAGCCATCAGCAGTCCCAGTGCAATTTCAGGTGCCACTGGGCGTTCAGGGACCACAGAGGAGCTGCTCGCGTGGCCAACCCTGTGTGTAAGCCGCAGGTGTACTTCTGATAGCGCAGCTGGGGGAGGGGCTCTAAAATTGACCTCGTTGGTTTCGTTCTCAGCAAACTGACCTGGGCCACTCAACAAGGCTTTGTGGTTCCTGAGTTAGTGCATGTTCTCTTTTTACTATAGAAGATACCAATTTGACATGCATGGCCTCAGGGCCTCAGAGCCCAGGTAGCCCCCTCCCCATCCTGTATGTTCTTAGGGACTTTTACTCTGCTTCCTTGGAGCTTTAGCCACTGCAGTGGAGTCCCCACATGCTGCCACAGCCCCTAATCCGGGGCCACCCCACCTGCCTGTCCCCATGGATGCCGGGGCAGCCGCTCCAGTGTATTTTTCAAGCCACAAGGTCTGGAACTCAAACCATGCAGCCACGCGTGTGGGATCCAGCTGCTCGAACCAACGTGCCACGAGCTGGTCCTCTTTCATTGTTTAGTTTTGAGTATTTTCATCTCAGAAGATAAAGTGAACTTCAACTAAGTCCAGGAGATGCGTGATTTGTAGGTATTTTCTCCCAGCCTGTGGCTTGTCTTCAAATTCTACTAACTGTCAAAGGGAAACCCTTACACTTGGTAAGTCTGCTTTCTTCTTTCATGGCTTGTGTACACTGTATCTCATGCCTAGCCCAGTGACAGAATGTTCTCCGGGACTTTCCTCTAGAAGTTCCGTGGCCTAGGTTTCACATCTAGGTCTGTGATTCACTTTAAAATCTGTGCAAGGTCTTGGGGTCAGCAGGTGGAGGAGCGGTTACATCACCAAATTCCCACACCGCCGACCGTGGTTCAAGTCCTGGGCCTGGTGGCTTGAAACTCACACCAGGCATGTGTGCATGTGTGCCCAAGATCCCAGGAGAATAGAGAAGGGACTGCAGCGTGGCGATCCCCTCGTGGGGGTGATTTCTCACCTTCCCTCTCACTGTTTCTCTCTCTCTGGCGAGTACACACATCCTCAGGCAAAAACCTACAACAACAAAAAAAAACTTGTGCAAGGTCTGAATTTGGGGACGAGTTCCTTTTTTGTCTGCATGTGAGTGTCCAGATGCTCTAGCTCCGTCTGCTGGAGAGAGGAACGAGGAGGGGTAGCAGCGTGGTCATACTGCCGGGGATGATTTCTCGCTGTCTCTATCTGTCTGGCAAGCATACTCACACCCTATAGCAAAAATGTCTCTTAATTTAAACAAAACAACAACAACAAAAACAAACCCAGGTACGTGTGCATGTATGCATGCCCCAAATCTGGAGAGAACGGAGGCTGAGGGTTTGTTGTGTGATTACCCTCCCCCTCCAGGGGGTGAGTTCTCATTTTCCCTCTGTCTCCTTCCAGCAAATGTACACACCCTACAGCCAAAAAGAAGACAGAAAAGCCTGCTGACTACCTTTGAGTGGCCCCGCTGAGCTCTCTGTCCTGGTCTGGGTCTAACTTTTCACCGACCATCCAGATTAATGCAGCATTGCAGTAAATCCTGGAATCAGGTATTGCCAACACCGCCCCCCTTTTTTTGGAGAGGTTTGTGCTATAGGGCGCATGCACTCACCAGGAAGACAGAGAGAGAGAGAGACAGAAAGCGAGAAATCACTTTCTGATTTGAGGCGTTAATAGCAGCACTAGCTGCTCTTGGGCCTCCAAATCCTCAGGCAGATCCAGAGTGCCGCGGTATTCTGCATGGTCTTGTTGCAGCGGTGGAACCCTCTGCAAAATTACCCAATACCAACAAGAGGCCATTCTCTTCTCGGGATCTTGGGCACACACACACACGTGCCTGGCATGAGTTTGAGCTACCGGGTCTGGGACTCAAACCATGGTCGACTACGTGGGAGTCCAGCGACATAGCCATTATGCCGACCGCTGGCCCCGTGAGTTGGTCCTAATGCATACCTACCCAGTTGGTAAAGACGGCCTCGTATCTGATCGTCCTAACAAAGGGCCATCTCGTGTTAACCACGGAGTTCAGTGTCCGTGCGGGTCGGCATCTTGCTACCAAATTGAACCTTTTATTTAGTACAGCAGCATTCTGACTTGGTTTCAACTATTACAAATACCCCAACGAAGGAAGAACAACTACACATCTGCCCGTTATGATGTGGAGTTCCTTCGTCACAAAGATGCGCAACGTACATTTCTTGAAAAATGGTGACAACCGCTTCGGGGCAGCAGCAGAGGTTTAAAGAAACGCGAAGGTTCGAGTGCTGGACCCAAGGACAAGTACCGCGGGGCCGCGGGGCCGCGGGGTGGCCGCACGGCAGCTGTGGGTGCAAACCGCAGACCTCCCTGGCCTTACTAGCTTTCTTCTGAGTGTCCTTCTGTTTTACTGGAACAGCCAGGAAAGCCAGGTTCCAAAGACATCGGTCACATGCTCAGTGGCCGTGGAGGAGAGGTGTTTTTGCACGTCCTTAGTAGTTCTCAATCCACTCTCGAAGATCCACCTTCAGTTAGTGAAGGATGTGGAGGAAGAGTTACAGGTGGCCGGATTAGATTTTGGTAAATTTATGAGGGAAAACAGATGAACTCCTTTTCTAGACCCCAGATATAAAATCGTAAAATCGATGGAAGTCTTGAGGTCTCTTCGGAACGAGCAGAAGGTCAGTTAGAACACCCCTGGTACCGGCCTATGATCACCCCCAAAGCACTGTTTTCAACACGCAGGCAGCAGCCCACTAGCCAGTGTTACTGTGCAAGAACCCTGAGTGGAAGATGCGCTCAACTGTCAAGAGCGACAGGCAACTTCCTTGAAGTGGAAAGGAAAAACGGCCCTCTGCCTATTTCCAGGTAGCACAAAAGAACCTGCAACAAGCCTCGTGCTGAAATGGAACTCCACAGCTGGGGAAATCGAGAGGGCCAGGACCCCGGTGATCCTTGCGGGGCGACAGAGTGCCGTTCCAGGAGGCGCCAGCAGTTTGCTGGACGTCTGAGCTCGGTTACTAGCAGAGCCGAGTTATGTCATTATCTCAGAGAGGAAAACAGGTGGGGACAGCCAAAACTGGCAAAGCCGGCCGGCAGTGAAGTGACTTGAACCAAATTTCATGTTGCATAGATATTGGGGGATTTAATATACATACCTTTCCAGCAAGGCTGCAGTATGCTGGCTGAGCTGGTGTTTACATTTTTTAAAAGAATTATTATGATTAGGACCAGCAGTTGGCATAATGGCTATGTCGCTGGACCCCCATGTAGTCGACTGCAGTTCAAGTCCCGGACCCGGTGGCTTAAACTCACGTCGGGCACAATGTGCGTGCCCAGATCCCGAGAATGGAGGAGAAGGGATTGCAGCATGGCCATCCCCCCTGGGGATGTCTTGCTTTCTCTCTCTCTTTCTGGCGAGCGCATGCACCCTATAGCAAAAACCTCTCAAAACAAACAAACAAAAAAAACCCATGAGTTTTGCCAAAGAAAGAGAGAGAGAGGAAGAGTGAGAAAGTAAGCCGTCAGGTAAAGGATTCAAACGCAGTCAGCATGTGGGAGTTCCAGCACCTTAAACACCAAGGCACCTTACTGGGCCAGCAGGGGCCACCCATGGGTTAAGTCCCGGATCTGGCGTCTTGCTTTCTCACTTTCCCTCTGTCTCTCATTCTGTCCCTCTCTGGTCAAATTAAAATAAATAAAGTTCAATAAAATAATTCTTTTAAAAAAAAGAACTAGCCTTATTAATCGCAAGTTAGTACCACTGGAGAGGCCCACCAAGCGTCTGAGGAAGAAATACACCTCTCCTACTTTCAGAGTTCTTTAAGTGTGCCCCTTCTCGATGGCCTTTTAACGGAAATGCACAGGGAAAAAGCAGCAAACCACGGCCCAGCTTTGCGTAGACGTTTAAGTGTTTATTCAGGAGCATGGGCCCCAGAGCTCTCCACAGGCTGGGACGACCAGACGCCTCTCTCGGAGGCTTGCCAGGCCCAGACTGCAGGAGAACAGGGAGGCCGAGTCGGGCCACCCGGGGGTTTGACACTTGAATGGCCACAGGTCAGACAGCATGAGGTGGACGGAACCAGACTCCTGGCCACGGGCACCACACCTACCTCGGGGCCCTGCGCCACCTGACAGACATGGCGGTGGCGGCTCATGGCCACCGCAGGCCTGCCTAAGGACTCGGTGGAAACAAGGTAAGAGCCAGTAGCTGCTTCCCAACCCACGTGGGAAAGCGTCTCCACTGTGAGGCGGGCAGAGGTCACCGCTGAGATCCGGAGGCTGGCATGTCTAAGTCCCTGCCACCTGCCTGCCCACTGTTGCAGGAATTCAAGTACAAAGTCCCAGCCCCTGGCAAGGGCAACAAGGGAAACTCAGCTCAGCCCTAAGGGACCCTTGGGAGGCCCTGGCCCCAGCCACCCCACAGCACCACGGCCAGGGCCTGCAGGCCCGTCTCTCAGTGGATGGCAAAATGAATCCCGGCCCCAGGGTAGGGACCTGACTGCCCATGGGACAGCCTGACCCGCAGAGACACTGCCAACTCCCAGGTCAGGCCCTTCCACAGTGATGTGTTGTTGGGGCTGGTCTGTGGCACCCCGAGGCCACCTGGGTTTTCACCAGAGACTGCTGGGCCGCCTACTCGGGGCTGGTCACATCGAGGCCTTGGTGGACAAGTGGGGCAAGGCGGCCGGCCAGCAGACCCCTGAGTGCTGCTTCCTGGCTGGCGCCAGGACTGCAGGCAGCAAAGGCCATGGAGTCCTGAGTGTCACCACCAGCCAAGGACCGAGACAGCCCCATATGCCAAACCCGGGCGGTCACGCATTTAGGAACGGAAAAGCTGACGGCTCTGAGGTAGGAGGCCTCTGGGCTGCTGCCCCCTGTAAGGGTATTTGAGGAGCCTGGGGGGCCTGGTGGGGCTCCTCGGCAGCCCCCTGGGCCCCTTGCAGGCGGGGACAGGCCACGAGGTCCATACCGGCAAACAAGGACTCCGGGCACCCCTGCGCGGTGCCTGTGCCCTCTGGGCCTCGCTCAGGCCCCGCCCCCTGCTGCTGGGGACCTGCCAGTCTCTCCCCGGCCTCCTCGGGGGCTGGGAGGGAGGAGGTGTCTGGCGGTGCAGGGGGCACAGGGGGCCTAGGCAAGAGCGGGGTGGAACTCAGAGGCTGGAGGAAGGCTTGGCTCCCAGCAAGAGGCACAGTGCCGGTCAGCAGGTCGGACGGGCTGGTGGGGGTGGCTGTG